TTTACAAATTATCTTTGATTTTATAATTTTTATTTTTTAATTTGAAGCTTGCACATTGATCTACCTCGAGACTTGCTCTTCACCTCAAGAAGAAAAACTACACTTTTTTCTCAATTTTGCCTTTATAAACCTTGGATGGGATCAGGTGACTAACATTGCTAGTTTGTTAAATCAAAAGGGAAAATCAAGGACTAATGCAAAGATGATCATGTATTAACTCTCTAATCAAGTAGAAAGCAGCTAAAACATTTAACAGAGTCAACATTTGCAACCATGTTATATAGATGAATAATTGAAACTAATTTCTACCTTGCTTCCTGTCAATATCTCCCCTCACCCTTTATGAGATATTGCATATTTCTTACATGTACCTCTCCCTCATCTAACAAAGGTACTCTTGATTTGGCCTTACTGGAAATAAAAAACTTGTATAAGCGGGTATAGGATTGGGTAAGTAGGCACTTTATGAGAAAACAGAAGGATATGTGAAAATGTCGATTTAATTTTCTTGGAAAATCATTTGGTGAAGAAGTTGTGTATTGTGTTGTATATTAATTTAATATGGTGTACATCAATAGGCCGCCGCAATTTAATAGAAAGAAAAAGTCAAGTTAGCTTATCTTAAGCTCTCTAACTTAGTAATCTTTCCCAATAATACTTTCTAGTGGGCGAAAAGGAACATTACAAAAATGGATGGACCATATGTTGTGAACTAGTGAAAAGAAACAAGAGAAGCCATTAGGGAACACATTCTATTTCCATTTTTATTATTTTTTTTATTTTGTTTATGGATTGATATGAATAAAATATAATTCATATTTTAAATTAAACCAATATTACTTTTATGGAATATATCATAAATCTATTTATGCGACTATGTTGTCGATAAGGGCAAAAGGAGGCACGGGTGAAAGCAATGACGACAATGTAGAGATAATCACAATGGCAACTGGAATGATGATAGTGATAACCGATGACCAGTGGCTATAAAGTTGCCCAATGTGATGCACGAGATCAGGTGATTTAGTTTAGCATTTAAAAATAATTAAAATATCTAGAAGTCATTTTTTGTACATTAAAAAAACTTCCAAAAATAAAAAATAAAAGTAATTACAAAACAATAACCCAACAAATTTTTAAAAGAAAAATATAAAAATAATCAAAGTGATGTCAAATAAGGCCTTGAGACAATATCTTATTCTATTGTGTTGATTTGTACTAGACCTTATTGGTGTTGAGTAGTAAAAGATAATACTTATTTAGTAACATTATCAATTACAATGTTGCAAGCGTTGTAATTATTTAATAAATTTATATATGATTCAAACATTAAACAACATTATTAAAAGTTTTAAATTCTTAAAATATAATAATTCAATCATAACTAGCAAATAATTAATTAAAAAATTCTTACTTAAAGGAAGCAACTGTCATTCATAATTTTTTTTCAATAAAAAATCCAAATCACCTTTCTGAAAGAGTTAATTTTCTATAATATTTCTTCTCATATTAGCAAAATCAAAGTCCATTGAATTACTTCTATTTTTTCAAAAAACAAAATCACGTATTTAAAAGCATTAATAATGTTGAATCTACTTTCTCTCTTGTTTTACCATAAATCCCATATTTATTGAATCTAAAAAATGCAAGAAATACAACTTAGATACGCAGCTTGAGGACCAATCACAAACTCTTATTCTCTTTCACGCATTGCAAATCAAGCAAAGCATTACAACCAATTAGCTCTCATTAAAAGCTCAACTTCTCCTTCACATGTCACCAATCTAGTCCATGTCATCCCCAAGCTAGCAACTATAGCAAGCAACTTCCACATCTCCTTCACACATCATCGGTCGCATATATGACTTACCTTAGTGAGCTCCTGTGTTTATGGTGTAGGGTTTAGGATTTTTGGTGAATGCGAACACAGTAGAAAAGGAGGGTTTTATTTATTTACTGTAATAAAATAATCAATTTAATTAACTAAGCATTTGAACATACCCAGTATGGTTAAATACTAATAAAGTTTTAATGATTTTAACTAAACCTTAAGTAATCATTTTTTAAAATTTATAAATAACTAATTCTAATTAATTATCCCCATAATCATTATTTAATAATTCTATGTTTAATTATCCTAAATAAACACATTAAACCTTTCATATTATAATTATACCCTTAAATAATATTAAAATTAGTCTAATTGTAAAAAAAATCATTTAGTAATCAGTATTTATAATTATTAGTTATGTTATAGAATTAATTTTTCAGTAAATATAATTATAAGTGATTAATTTAGAATTCAATTAACTCCTAAAACCCAAAAAAATTGCCAAAACTATTTACCAAAATTTAAGGAAATTGAACATTTTTCAAACCAAACAATTTTCAAGATTTAACATCAAGAAATTATTAAATCCTACTTAATATTTCTAGTCAACAAACGCTAAATTAACACATTAGAACATGAACAAAATACAAAAAACATCAGAAAACTTCACCCTAATTATTTTATTATGAAAATCCAAATGGCATAAAATAACAATCATCAGTTGTTAAAGAATAAACATAATGGGCAGGTTAGTGAGTCATTTTAGGTCTTAGGTAGCTATTTATGTATTTTAAAGCAACACTAAGATTTTGGTAGTAAATCAATACTCTTCTTGTGAAAAAACTAAAGCAAAATGGAAAAAATAACTTAAATTTTGTTATTTTTCTGCTTTTCTACAAGTTTAATAAAGGGTTCATATCAAACCGTGGTCTCATTACAGCTATAGCCAGATGTCCCATCAGCATCTTAGGCTTCGTCTGGGGTCGCGTTTCTCGAGTGGCGCAGCCACAAGCCGCACTTTTTTTAATTTTGCATTTGTTGTCGCGTTTTCGCGGTGTGTGAAAAAATTCTGCAAAACGTTAGCCTCGGGTCAAACCCGCGGCCCGCGTTTCTAACCCCACGGCCCACGTTACAACTCCATTTTTTTTACTACGCTACCCTCTCTCGCCCCTCACATCCAAGCCCTCTCTTGCGAATCTTCTCTCGCGATTGCGTCGGCTTCTCCCTCCCCTTTCTCGCACCGGATTCTCCCTCTCCAAACAGACCCTAGTGGTTGGCCCCATCTGCCGTCTCGGTTCATGCCTTAGCGCTCGCCCGTGTGTCTCACTCCGCACAGGATTTCCCGTCTCCCATCTCACATCGCCCTCTCCGTAGTGAGAAAGCCCGCAACGACTCCAAAGTATCTTTCCGAGGTGCTTCCGAACTTTTTGTTTTTTAAGCGACCTTAAAACTCACATCTTGTTTTCTGCATCAATTTTGTTTTTTTATCTTTTTGGATTTCAGATTCACATGAGAAATTCTTTGAGCATATAGATCTACAGTGAAGCTTGCTCTTAGATTTAACATATAATTTTTTGTTTTTGGTTTTTTAGCTGTTGGATTTATTAGTTCCATTGTCTTCAATGGGAAGAAACAAAGGAATGTTTGTTTTATCCATCTTATGCCAAATTTATTTATTTTAAGGGATAATTACATACACAACATCTAAAACAGATGTTTTTATTTTGAAACTCGTTGTTTGGAGGTTTTCCTAAACCTTTGTTGAACTTGGTTAGGTAGATATATGAATCATGCAATTGTAATATTTTCACTGTGACGTTAACAATTTCAGTAGTATGTGTGTAAATATCAAAGTTTAGGTACTAAATATGCGCATATATAAGAATTTTGTGGTATGTATGTGAATGTCGTGAGGATCATTCAAGACTTTCCAACAGCAAAAATCGAGAAATAAATAAACAACATTACTACACAAGGGCAGAATGGTCATTTGTCCAAAAACAGCTACCACACAGCTGATTTCAAACTACAAAAACAAACATTCAGTTATCTTTTGCGCAGTACCTTATTGATAAGTTGCAGCTGCCCCAAACAGATCCTTAATGCCTGCTTACTCATCTACAAAATTTTCCCCCTTTCCACATCACAATCATATATTTCATCAAACCTTCCTCGTTTTCTGATTAAGATTTCCACGTTCCACCTTTGTCGTTCAATGCTCTCGCTCAATTTTGTCAAAAGTAGGCATCCAAGAAATATTTTATGAGTCATCGCAAGCTCTGTCAAATCACTTGAATGGTCATTTTATGGCCAATTATGCATTGTTTCTCCAAGCAACCAATGCAAACATATTCTAATAGGATTCTCTTTTCTCTCCTTCCAAATATTCCCGCCTACAAGTGATAATGACTCATTATCTAGTTTTGCAAGATATGTTGAATCCCTATGCCTATCACCCGATCCCAAACCAAAATACATGCCAACACACATCTTATCCCACCAAGCTCACAATAGCCACAATATGTCACCCTCCACCTAAATCTTGCATTGCCAACCTTAATCTCACCGAATCCACATGCCTAAACCACATGCAAGCTTGCAGCGACCAGCAGCCACCACTGCGGCCTCCAGCCAAATCTTGCAGATCTCATCATTGCCCGCATCCTCTAGTGATGAGCTTGACCTTGAGAACAAAGTCATTGTGAAGGGGCCGGTAATGTTATGGAATAAATGTAATGGGCAATATAGTGGGTCATTATGGATCATTGGTAGTTAGGCTTATTAGACATTTTAATGAGTCATTTGAATGTTGTTAGCATCTAAATACTCTTAATAACATAGTATAAAGGCAAGGAAAGTGAAGAAAATTTGAGCTATGGATGCATTCAGTTTTAGGCATTCTAAAATTGCTTCCCCCATGGATTTCTGAAAATTTAGACAACAAGTCGCCTAGATATCATGAATCCCTATGTTCTGTTTTTTCTCTGTTTTCTGCAATTTCCACAGTAGGTTCATATTATCAATTCCCGATAAATGCATCCATCCCCTTCACTCTTTCTCTAGGGTTGAACACGTTATGGCTAACCGAATCTACTATGTAGGAACGAAGAACGAAGACGAAGTAGATAGAGAGGTGGGAATGGAACGAAGACTGATGAAGGGAACTTACTCTCGTGTGGATGTGTCGACCATCTGGCAGACGGAGAGGGCGATCATTGAGGTCTTGCCGGTCCCAGACTGAGCCTGGGCTATAACATCGCGGCCGCTCACTATGGGCATGATGGCCCTCTGCTGGATCGCCGAGGGTTTCTCAAAGCCGTAGGCGTAGATCCCACGAAGGAGATCATCACGGATCCCCATCTGATCGAAGCTCGTAATGGCCTCAACGCCCGGGGTTGTCTCGAATACCAGGTTGTCGTCCTCCAACCGCGTAGGACGGCCACGGACAGGAGCCGCCACCACGGCTGCCATTGGAACCAAAGAATAACTGCGCGGCGGTAGTATCGAAGGCGGGGTGGAGGGGAACGGAATTGGGTTTGGGATCGGGCACACTATAAACCCTTCAGAACAAGTCCCGTTTTTTACACCTTTATAGACCGGCTTCTTATTAGAAGCTCTCCGGGGGCTCCCTTCCTTTGCCCCAGTTCAAAACCATTGCTTGTAAATTCTTCGTTTTCTGACCGCGGGCAAGCTCCGGTGTCCCACGGTTCGCAAAAAAACAGCGGCACTCTATATCCTTAGCTAACCTTGCTTCACTCTCTCCTATCCCTAGATCGTCCCAGTCTTCCAGAGGTATCTATTTTTAGCTTATTGTGAGGAGAAAATGTTGGATTAACATATTTTGGATTTAAATTATGTCCTAGCCTTTTTTTTCTTTTTTACTCAATTCACTGGAGACGAGAGAATTAATGCCATTTTTCCTTCTTTTTTTTCTTTTTTGGAATGGGGGTGTATACTATCTGAGAGGAGGAACAACAGATTTTGAGGAGAAGAAAATGTTGGATTCCTTCATTTCATCTAAGTTGCTCGTGCTTAACCCTTGAGCTTTGCAACGGTTCTTCAGTATTTTGAGTTGTATAACACTAAAATATGTTTTTCTTTTTTTTTTATTTTGTAATTTTTGTGTCATTCTGCAATTTTGAGATGATTTTTTAGCATTAAATAGAACATATTATTAAACAGTGGAAGCACAATTTTTTTTTGGGTTGTATACCTGATTTGAATATTCAAAACAGTGGGCTATGAACCGAGGAAGTACTTTCTTTGGATTGTTTGACATATGTGTAATATGTTATTGATGTATTATGGAGATTTCTTTTTTATCTTCTCTAATTGTGGGCATTTAACTAACCACATATTTCATATATATTTTCATATCTTCCTTTTAACAAGTGAAATTCATATTTGAATGCTCACGATTTGTTTGATCACTTTACACATAAAGGTGACTGGTTTGTTTGGTCAATTTGCACACAATAAGTGCAATTATTCACTTTGTGCTTCTAGTTTGAATCCACAATTTAGTTTACTGTGCATAAAGGATGGAAGGGTTTTTGGAAAAATTCTATTCAGACATAAGATTTAGATTTCCCATTTTATTATATACATGTTCATTCAATTTGTAGGTTTTTCTTGAAAAATTGAAAAAAGTCATCAACATGAAGATGTGGGGCTTCATTTCCTTAGCTAATGTTACATATTATCTTTCTTTTGTTTGGCTGCATGAACAATGATGGTGGTTTTTTTATAAAATGTTGAGGACTAGCTAGTTATACATGAAAATAGTAGTATTTAGGTGTTCCATATGTAATTACATAAAAAATTTGTGGTGAAGATATTTATTTTGTAGTTGGTTTACTTGCAAATTTGATGTAGTTGGTTTTCCGTACAAGAACTTACCAATTTCTTATATCACCCGACAATTATTCAAAGTTTATAATGTTTTAGTGCACAGTCCATTATCCTATTTATCATATAATAATTGAAATTATAGATGCAAGAACTAATGGGTAACATACGAGACACCACGTCATCTGCTATTTGGGAAAATGATACCAAAATGGTTTTTTGTGACATATGCTTGCATAAAATTGAGTTAGGAGATAGACCAACAACTCATTTTAGCAAAGAAGGTTGGCAAAACATTACAAAAAAAAATTTCAATAAAGAACAAGTAGATTGTACGATCGAACATAGTTAAGAAAATAAATGTGACCAGTTTAAAAAAAGATTGAAAATTTTGGAAGAAACTCAAAAAATGATCAAAAAGACTTGGTTGGGATCCCATAAAGAACACCGTTGATGCGTCACCTGAGTTGTGGAAGGAGAAGTTTGAAATACGATAAATTGAACGAAATGTAAAATTATTTTATCTAAACTATTTTAGTGCATTTGTTGTGGTGACTTCTCTTCTTCATAGTACGAATGGCAGGTCGCACCAAATTTAAAAAAAATTATGTACCGTGGTATCAAAATTGAGCTAGAGAAGAAGTTCAATCTCATGTTTAGTTGCATTGTCGCAAAGGGTGGTAATTCATAAACTTTTCAAGAATCACAAGAGCAGAGAGATAGTCCAATTGAACCAACTCAAAGAGCGTCCCATAACATCCCTGAGCACAGTGAGTCCAGTCACGCCAAGACACCACCCTCTTTAAAAGCAAAGGTTGGTTACAAAAAAAAAATTGACTTCTTGATGTGGTTTTCATGTATGCGTTGTAAATATCTTTCAATACTACAACGCAAACACGACAGCGCAATTAGCAAATATGCTGATCAATCACAATAAAATCACTTTAGTATAAATAGTTTTATATTTTAAAATCTTTAAGCTGTCAAACTTAATAATTACACAAGTATACGTATCACTCAAGTAATAAAGAACTCTAATGGAGTCTTAAGTATCGATCCCACAGGGAGATGAAAATTCTTATGATTAAAATGTAAAACACAATATTCAAACTATAAAAACTTAAGTAAGAAAAACAAATCTAAAGTGAATTTAATGAATGCTAAATGAAATGTACCTAAAAAAACTAAGTTAACTAAACTATTTTCTAAACTTCAAAGTTAAATTTACTAATACTAAATAAAGTTTTGTAACAAATAATTCAAATTTAAGAAAACATCCTTCCCCTTTATAATGAGTTTAAGGATTGTGAAGTAATTAAAATCATTTAAAATTATATATATAATTGTATTATGTCAAATAGGAGCAATCCTATTCTTTACTACCTATCGGGTGCATAAAGAACATTGACTAATCCAGAGTTTGATCCCTAAATCCGAGATTAGGTTGAGAGGATACTGGCTCCCACTCCAGAGCTCCCACTTCTCCCTCCCCTGAGGGCTAAAAATCTTGCTTTAGTTTCCAAGTAACTGGACCAAATTGAAGATTTTAGACTGTCACCCTAAAATCTCCAATTTTACGCCCATTGAAATATATTTCCCTATTTATTTGCACTCAACCCCATGAACTACATTCTCACCCATGAAATTAAATGCGACTCTTACCTTGTTGTAGAAAGCATAGCCCTTTCGGATCTTATGTTTTTCAACAAATTTTAACATTTCAATTGGTCAGATCAAATAGTAAATTAAGATTAGAGTTCAAATCATCACAATTTATTGACATTTAAAACCTTTTACATCAATATTAATTCTTCATAAATCCATATCTCATTTTATGGAGAAGGATAAAGAAGACTACTCAGAATTCATGAGAAGGATACGACAAAACATGGATTATATATATAAAAATAAGTTTACAAAATAAAGAAAGGAAAGAATGCAACTTATCTCACACTCATTCTCAAGCAAATCCCTTGAAGTTCTCTTTAAGCACTTTCTCTCTTTACAATCACACTAAATTCTCTCTTAGAAATGCAATGAAGAAGAAATCTCTCACATTGTCTTTCCTCTTACAACTCTAGAAGAATATCCTCTCCAAAACCTAACTCTCCTCCAGGAGTTCACACGCCACTCTTCTCTCTATACTTCTTAATAAGGCCGCTAGCCTTATCTTTAAAGAAATTCATAATTCCCTCCTTTTTTCTCAAGTGGCACACCTCTTCTCATCAAGAGACAAGTCTCTTCCTCCAAAAGACATATCTCTTCATTCCAAAGCCTTTTCAAAGTATCTAAATGTATTAAAACACTCCATTGGGCATTTGAATTACTTGAAGCCTTCTAGAATCTCTCAAAAATAGTCAATAACTGCAACAATTCTTCTAAATTCATCTTTGGTGTCGCTTCTTTATAAAATGACACCTCTGGCACTAATTTGCTGAAAAACTGCTTTTTCACTCCAAATTTCTTTCTTTTTGCTCATTTTTGCTCCAAATACCTAAAATCAATATACCTGCAACAAAACATAAAAATATCATTCATTAAAATGCAATATCACTAAATTTAAGCATAAAATATATACACAAAATTTCACATTTTTTTGGTGTATCAGAATTCTCTAAACTTAAATATTACTTGTCCTCAAGTGACTCTTTTACTACTTAAAAATATGACTTATGATAAAGTTAACTTATAAACATTTATAATATGGTTTAATAAATGTAATAGTATAACTCAAGAAAATTTTTTAATAACTTAGGTCAAAACTAAAAGTATAAGAACACCTAGTAGTCAAGTCTAAGATTTCTGAATCTCTATTCATTTAAAGAAGAACTATAATTTGTTATAACAAAGATACTTAGAATGTCCATATGAAAAAGAATTTCATGAAAACTTTATTAGTAAGGATGTTAATATTCCAATACAAGTTTAGAAAATGTAAAAAAGCCTTTTTTCCTCAAGTTGATTGATCCAATTTTTTTTTATGTAAGGATTTATGAAGTTGACACCACTACAGTGCCAAAAACTTGATCCTTGTATGAATAGTAAGTTGTGTAAAATATATAATTATAGGTAATTAATAATGAGATTCTATGCAAGTATACATATCATTATCAAGTAATAAAGGACTTTCTATTTAAGCCATAAATATTGATCCCACAGGGAAGGTGTAAATTGACAATGATAAGTTTTACTAGGAAATTTACAGAAAATCAAACGAAATCACTGTCACTAATTTTGGAATGTTGAGATGTTATCAAAACTAAAGTACTTAACTATTAGCAAAATAGAAATGCAAAGTTTAAAAAGTAAATACTAATCTACTAACTATGTTTATGTAATGAAGATTTCTTATAAGAAAAGCATCCTTCCCACCACAATGAAGTTCTAGTAAAATGAAATGAGATAAATGTTTATAATATGTATTGTGCCAAATAGGAATAATTATAATTCTCTACCCTGATACAGTGCATAGAAGATCATTGTCTAATCCTAGGTTTAGTCCCTAAATCCATGGCTAGGGGCTAGGAGGAACCCGCCTCCCACTCCAGAGCTCCCACTTCCCTTCACTTCAAAGCTAATTCTCGCTTTAGTTTTTAAACACTAAGACTAAATTGAGGATTTTAGTCTGTCACCCTAAAGACTCTCCAATTCTACACCCAACAAAGAATATTTCCCTATTTATTTGCACTTAATTCCATGAACGAATTTCTACTCCATGAAATCAAATGTGATCCTCACTCTATTGTAGAACTCATACTCCATTTCACAGATCATATGTTTCACAACATATTTTAACAATTCAATTGGCCAAATCGAAATGTAAATTAAGTTCAGAGTTGAAAAATCTCAGAGTTGAAAAATCATCACAATTTATTTTATATTTTAATATTGGCACATCATA